TTTTTTCTTTAAACACGTGCGCAGGTTTGGCAAGTCCTGTGGCTCCAGGTGATGCCTCTTCCCTGGCCATTGCTGAAACGGGAATCCCGGTGGGTGATTTCACGGGAAACGTGCCCGGTTTGATACTCAGGGGTAAATCTAATTCATTTTCTTACCCCCCACCCAGCCCGGCCACCTCTGCAGGGTCTCATCCGAACCCAGGTACCGTGTCCCCTCCCAGCCTCATCTGCACCCCCACCCCACCCACCCCTCTGGTTTATTTTTTGCAAGTTTGAATTTTACAAAATTCTGCGTGTCTTACCTCAAACACACGCCGGAGGCGGGAAGGGGAGAGGAGGAAGGCTAAAGGACCAAACGCAATGTGTGGCAGAATTGTATGTCTGTATATATTGAGAGATATAGATACTGGGTTTAAACCTACCAGCACGAATTTCTTTTTGGTTTCTTCTGGACTTTTTTTTTTTTTTCCGGTTGTTTTATTTTCTGCTTCTTTGCCCCCTGGGGCCATTCCGCAAGGGGAAGGTGTGGGCGCCTCACTGTAAGTAAAGGCATTTTTCTGGTATCTTCCACTGAAGGAATTACTCAGTTTTCCATGGGTTTTTTTTTCCTAATGGGTTTTTTTTTCCCCCTCTGAATAGCAAGAGTGGGTAGGGATGGGGGGTTTGGAAACCAGTGCTCAAAGGGAAGGGGTACTGGTAGCACTGGGGAGCTGCTGGGGAGGCGAAGGGAACGCAGCAGTTGAACCTGCGTTAAACCAAAGGGTTTCTTTGCTTTGTTTACACGCCCGGCCAGCCTCGCTGCCCAAGAGCATCTCCCTGGATCTAGGTTTTTGTCCTGGAAGCATTGGGAAAGGTAGGGACAGGCCAGAGCCGGGGGCTTGGGGACCCTCCGCTCCCCAGAGCTGCCCACGATGGCCCCAGGGGGGGACCTGGGTGGGAGCATCCCCATCCCCTGGCTGCTCCAGGGAAGCGCCAGCCCTGCCCCAACCTTTTCCTTTTTTCTTTTTTTTTCTTTTTTTTTTTTCTTTTTTTTTCCCCCCCCATCCTCTTTGGCGCTGGGTGGGAAGGTGATGCTGGGGAGGTGGGACGAGGTCCAAGGGGGCCGAGGGTGGAGGGGAGGGAGGCTGTGTATAAAGTGACCCTTTCTCTCCCGCCACCACCCTCGCTGCCACATCCCTCGTGCTGTATAAAGGAAATAGCATTGCTGTGTATTTGTACTCTGAACTTCCGTGTGTCTGCTTTGGCAGACGGTAAACCCTTGTACAGTAGGTCTAGCTGCATGTAATCTGTATGGACAATGGCATTATAAAATGCAATAAAATAAATTACCTATCATGCTGCTGTGCCGGCTGCTTTGTTATGATTTTTGATTTTAAAAAAAAAAAAAAATCTGCATTTTTTAATCCTCATAGGCTCTTCAGCAGCAAGGGGAGCGATGGTCAGCCTGGACGCCGGAGGGGACAGCAGGGGCTTGCTCTGCTCTGTCGGTGTCGGCGTAGCTGGGGGCTACAGCAGCCCTGGTGATCAGGTCCCTGTATCTACCCCTCACCAGCTCGCTCCTTCCAGCACCATCACATGAACTCGGGGGGTGAGGGGGGGGCCTGGCAGAAATACCTGGTTTGGGTGGGTTTGCTGAGCCTTGGGGTCGCATCCTTCCCATGGGGTGTTTGCTGATGCTGCTGGTGGTGTTGCAGGAGTGGAGGAGCCCCATGTCCACTGGCACTGGGAGCCTTACGGCCGTCGTAAGCTGCCAAACCCAGGGGGTTTTGCTGGCAGCACCAGCCGGGGCCGTAGAGCTGCACTGGCCGGCGGGCAGCTGGGGGGTGCGTGGGGTT